TGCATCATGTTTTTTTCAATAGCATTCGCTATGCAAAATTTTACTCAATCAGACAAATATTGGTAGTTTGGTGTATCATTTACAAAAAATCTGACCAAACTATATATGGGAGCTATATATAAATCTGAACCGATTTAAAAAAAATAAACAGTAAGGAAAGTAGTAAAGTCGGACGGGCCGACTATATGATACCCTTTACCACTTTGGGTATATTCAACAGATGAATCCAAACATACGTCGCATTTTTAAATGACCAGTAAAATGAAACTGGATCCATAAACATGTCATTCTACAATTGATACTAAATTTTTCATTTTGGTCAGATATAGAAGCTATATCTAAATCTGAACCGATTTTCAGGAAACTTAACACACATCATTCTAGACCTAATTCATTACGCTGTGCCAAATTTCGTGCAAATCGAAAAATATATAGGAACTTTGGTGCACCATTTACCAAAAACCGGACGAAACTATATATGGGAGCTATGACTAAATCTGAACCGATTTTCACGGAACTTAACACACATCATTCTAGACCTAATTCAGTACGCTGTGCCAAATTTCGTGCAAATCGAAAGATATATAGGGACTTTGGTGCAACATTTGCATTAAATCGGACGAAAATATATATGGGAGCTATATCTAAATCTGAACCGATTTTCACGAAACTTAACACACACCATTCTAGACCTAATTCATTAAGCTGTGCCAAATTTCGTGCAAACCGAAAAATATTAAGGGGTTTTGGTACACCATTTCATCACGACATACATGGACGGACGGACAGACGGACGGACATGCGTAAATCGACTCAGAAAGTGATTCTATACATATTCTCAAAAGGAACCATTGGTCTATCTCGATTCCTATTGCCTGTTACAAACATATGCACAAAGACATAATACCCTGTACCACAGTGTGGTGAAGGGTATAAAAACTTCGCAGACATCAGTCTGGATCTAATGCAGTACTCTGTGCAAAATTGTGTCCTAATCGGACAAATATTGGGAGTTTGGTGTATCATTCACAAAAAATCGGACGAAACTATATATGGGAGCTATGTCTAAATCTGAACCGATTTCAGCAAAACTTGGCACTTATCAATCTCGTCCTAATTCATTACTCTGTGCAAAGTTTTTTCTTAATCGGAAAAATCCTAAAAATTAGGCCGATATTTATATTGTATTGTAGGAAGATTTCCTAGTCGCTCAGAACCCCAAATATTATATTACTGCCGATTCGGTTGAAAGACTTGCCCAAAATTCTGAATAGAAGATTCCATTATATGGAGGCTATACCAAAACGTGACCCGATATTCTCCTACTTCAATACCATATCAATACGTAGGATAGTAGTTGCAATGTATACTGATTTCTTTGTATTAAAATATGCCTGAATTACTATTACTGAATTAAATTACTCAAATTCCTCAAAAATTGCACAGATATAAGATATGCGTTTTTCTGTTCTTTTTTTAAATATTTCTTAGTATTGAGATTAGTATAAATAGTATAAACTAAATAGCAAAAGAAATTCCCCAATCATGCCTAATTGTAATTTTCTTTAATCTTCACTTATCGGCAACATTATCTCTTTAACACAAATAAGAAGAAGAAACTAAAAACTTCTTGTAATTTTCAGATTTATTTCATGCAATTTTCCTCCCAACTACTTTGTTTTCACTCAATTGCCTTTAAATCCTTCGAAAATAAACACAATTTGTATTGAATTTGTTAGGCAAAGAACCCACAAAAAAGAAGAAAACCAAAAAACGAAAAATTACAAAACTTAGAAAAACAATCCTTCACTGATTGTGTTATCTTTGTCTAAGACAACAAATTTGCCAGACAAAAAAATCCAAATAAGCAAAGATCGTAAAGAAAAAAACAAAAAGTAAACTTTTCCAAAAAAGAAAAGAAGTCGTAAAAAACTATAACAGAATTTGCTTTGTTTACGATTGTCAACAGAAGACGAAAAGAGAGGAGGAATATAATTTGGTTTTTGAATTTTCCATCGATTTTATTTTATTTACAAGTTCGGTTGTCTTTTTGATGTTAAATTCCTACGCCCCCTACCCCGCTGTCAACTATTCGAAAAACAAGAAAACTGTCACACAAATCTTTGTTCAATGTGAAATTGTATGTGTGTGTGTAAATAAATAAATCTCGTAAACGTACATACACAGAAGATGGAATGACTTTATTTAAAGCGTAACAGATATGTTGTAAAACGCACACAGATACACACCCATACACGCACATATAGCCACTGTGGCATATCTACAGCAATAATACTATTGTTGATGATGGTGAGGTTGTTTTTGTTGCTACAACTACTTTATGGTGGTGTTGGAGTTGTTGCTGTGATTGTTTTGTCTCCGCCGTTCGTTTGTTATTTTTTGTTTATTATTCTACGTTGTATGTATTGGCTTTTGTTGGAATTTAAACAAAACTCCCCATTCTGTTGTTGTTGTGTGGTTGCAATAACACCACCAAAAAAATAAAATAAACTATGGCCATCAGTGGAATATTCTTTTTTTTGCAACACTTGAAGAGAAGATTGCACACAGAGCCATGGTAATCCAACTATGCAAAAGCACAGTGTCCTTAAACAATAACACGGAATACACAATACTACCAATACATATATACACGAAAACATTAAAGTTTTTGTTTGAAAAGTTGTACGTACATATAAATTTGAGTTATACTCCAAAACAAGTTGACAAGAATTATAGTGCAATCGAACAGAAGTTTTTCATGGAAAAAAGAACCTGAATTGCTGAGATATTATCTACAGAAAAAGATCGAACTCTGGAATTTTTTTCTATAGAAAAAAGTCGGGCATTGGAATTTTTTCTATAGAAAAATTCGTGTTTCTGAAAAAATCGGGCATCAGTGACAGAGGTATTTTTTCTTTTTGGACTCTGGAATTTTTTTCTATAGAAAGATGCGTGGAATCCATGTTTTAAGACAAAATCAGACAACTGTATCTGAAGTATTTTTTTTCTATACCTCAGTTTCTGAGACATTTTTTATATACCTCTGAGATATTTTTGTTATATACTCCTCAGTTCACTAAAGATATTTTTCTACAGACAAAAATCGATTCTTAGTTCACTGAGGTACATTTTTCTCCATAAAAAAAATCGAATCTCATTTCACTGAGGTATAATTTTTAAGTAAAGAAATTCGCACCTCATATTATTGAAAATGATTTCCTCTAGTACAAAATTAGTGGACTATAGCCCAAGGAGGTTTTTTTTCCTATAGAAAAAAATTCAGATCTCATATCAGTGAGGTGTTTTTTTCATTTCACTGATATATTTTTTTCTATAGAAAACAACTTGGATCCCAGCTTCTGGGATATTTTTTCTATAAAAAAAATCAGACCTCAATTTCTGAGGCATTTTTTTTTCTTCTCTAGAAACAAAGCAGACATCAGTTTCTGAATTATTTTTTTTTATAAAAAACAGACATCAGTTTCTGAATTATTTTTTTTTTAGAAAAAAACAGACCTCAGTTTCTGTGGTATTTTTTCTATAGAAAAATGCCTCAGAAACTTTTTTCTATAGAAAAAATACCACAGAAACTGAGACATCAGTTTCTGAATTATTTTTTTTTATATAAAAAAAGACCTCAGTGTCCGTGGTAATTTTTCTATAGAAAAAAATTAGACCTCAGTTTCTGAAATATTTTTTTCTATAGAAAAAAATCAGAACTTAATTTCTGAGGTATTTTATTTTTTGCTATAAAAAATTGAAATTGACAATTTTTGTGGAGCTTAATTTCTCTGGTATTTTTTATAGAAATAATTCCGACCTCTGAGATATTTTTTTCTATAGAAAAAAATCAGACCTCAGTTTTTTAGATATTTTGTTTTTTTCTACAGAAAAAAATCAGAGCTCAATTTCTGAGGTATTTTATTTTTTGCTAAAAAATGGTACTCAGATTCTGGGTTATTTTTAATGGAAACAAATCCCATCTCAATTTCTGGGGGATTTTTTTCTATAGAAAAAAATTAGAGCTCAATTTCTGAGATGTTTTTTTTATTAAATGAAATCAAAGCTCACTTCCAGAGGTATTTTTTCTATAGAAAAATATTTGGAGCCCAGTTTCTGGGTTAGTTTTTTATTCCGAACTCTGTTTCTGGGATATTTTTTCTAAAAAGAAATCACATCTCATTTTTTTTACATAGTTTTCTATTGAAAAAGTTGGTATTTTTTCTATAGAAAAAACCTTTGAACCTTCTATGAGGTAATTTTTTATATAAAACAAATTGGTAATTGTTTTCCTTATAAAAAAAATCAGACCTCAGTTTTTTGTGCATAAAAAAATAAATAAATAATCTACAAAAAATATTTACATCTTTTAAGATTTTTGAGGAAAATTGATCCTCAGTTCACTGAGGTATTTTTTATAGACAAAAATCGGACTTCAGATATTTATAGGAAAAAATCAATTAAATCAAACAATTTTTCATTTTCAGTGCACAGATTATATTTTTCCCTATAGAAAAAAGTTTTTTGTATAGAAAAATTTTATTTGTTATTTTTCTGTCTTGTTTTTATGCATCGAGGGCATTAACCAGTCGTCAGGATTTACATTTTAATAAATCACCAAAGCAATCAGTTTTGCATACACTCCATGAAATTCCCATGACTTATACGAGTGTGTATGTGTACTCTCCATCCCCATCTCTTCCCTCTACTACATACATATATGCACTTTTGCCGGCAACAAAAATAAAACTGCTTCCTGCAACCCAACCCCCTTAATGACCGAACAATGCAGTAAGAATTCCAGTCACATAAGTTGACAAAATATTTGTTGTTGTTTTTATCAAATCCTCTGTTTTTTTTAAATATTTCTCAAAGTAAAAAATACATATTCACATTGTTTTTTCTGTTTTATTTCATTTCAGGTGGCTTAGCCGATGGTGGACGCATCGGTTTCAGTGATGGTGTTGGCCACAATGGTGCCGGTGCTGCTGGTGGCAGCAGCATTGGCGGCGGTATTTTTGCACCACCAAATGTGCCATGTCCACCCGGTATGTTTCGCTGCAATGATGGCAGATGCATAACATCGTTGTGGGTGTGCAACTACCAAAAGGACTGTGAGGGTGGCGAGGATGAACAGCAATCGTGTCGTAAGTTGAGAGGGATTTCCCTGGATTTTCTTTTTATTTTTTTCCGGTTTCCGTATAATTTCATTTCGTTCGTTTCCCGTTGCAGCACCACCTGAATGTGAGGCCGGTCAAATTAATTGCGGCCAATATGTATTTAATAAGACCTATTGTATACCACCGCATTTCCGTTGTGATATGACTGAGGATTGTGAAGATAAATCGGATGAAGCACAGTGCAGTAAGTGAATTGTTTTTGTTGTTATTTTTTACTATTATACAAAAAATAATTATATTTAATATATTATTTATTAATTAAATTAAATGGCAAATAAGGTATGACTCATTCGCACCTCAGTTCTAGGGTATTTATAGAAAAATTCCGACATCAGTATCTAATTCATTTTTTTTTATAGAAAAAACTCAGACCTCAGTTTCTAATGCATTTTTTTCAATAGAAACAAATCAGAGCACTGTTCCTAAAGTATTTTTTATAAAAAATGGAGCTCAGTTTCTGGTTTATTTTTTTATAGAAATAATTCTGACCTCAGTTTCTGGGTATTTTTTCTTTAGAAAAATTTTAAACTCAGTTTCTGAAGTATTTTTTGAAGCTCAGTTTCTGTGATATTTTTTATAGAAATACTTCCGACCTCAGTTATTTATTTAAACCTGGGTTATTTAAAAAAATCGGATATCAATTTCTGATGTATTTTTTTATACAAGAAAACCAGATATTTTTTATAACAATAGTAATTTTATAAACTGTTTTTATTTTCTATATGGGGAAATATTTAAATGTATTTTTTTCAAATATTTTTTTCTACCCACTTCCTTAAATAACTGAAAAATAAATTGTTTATTTGTCTTTATTTTCTTTACCATTCTTTATGTTATTTTAAACAACCCGAAACCGAATTCTCTCATACCTTCTTCTATCATGTTGACTTCCTAACAATTTAATTCTATTATCTGTATAATTGTTAGGGCTGTTGAATTTGATGGTTCCTTTTTGTGAACGACTAGAATAGACCCGCAATTTTTCAACACCGCTCCTTAAATTGCCACAATAAGTAAACAGCGGGATATAACACCTTTATGAGCACGTTCTCCTTTATCCTTAATATTCGAACCAATTCACAGCCACTAAAGCAGTTGTTCTGGCTTTTGTTGTTATCCTGCACGCAGACCAATCATGGGAGGGACTTTAGGCAGGCAACTAATTGAAGCAATTTTGGGGGTAAATATTTTAATCAGATTGTTGTTGACTGTAAAAGTATTCGTGAAAAAAACACCAATTCTTTACTCCTTTGAAAAACAAATTTCTTAAAAAATTGTGTGGGTCCCTTAAAAAAGCCATGCATTGTGAGGATCCCTCAAAAATATTCTTTAAAGAATTCACGCATTGCAGGGCACCCTTAAAATTTTTCTTTAAAAAATCCCCGCCTTTTAGGGATCCATCAACAAATATTCTTTATAGAATCCACGCATTGCAGGGCACCCTTAAAAATATTCTTTAACAAATCCCCGCCTTTTAGGGGTCCCTGAAAAGTATTCTTTAACAAATTTGTCTTTAAAGATCTGTCTTTAAAAATCTTAAAAAAATCAACGACCTAATAGTACCTTTAAAACAAACTCTTAAAAAAAATCCTCGACCTGAAAACAAAATCTTTAAAAAATCCACAACCTGATAGGACCATGAAAAAAATCTTTGAAAAATTCACGTTTTCTTTAGGACCCTAAAAATATGCTTTTAAAAATTCACGCCATATTTCGTTCTTTAAAAAATATTCTTAAAAAAATCCAAGGGCGAAAGATTAACAATAGTCAGTTGTCGAAAAACATTCTCCCATGAAAATATTCCCTCCTCCGAAATTATGAATTTTGTTCTATAGAAAAATACTTACTTACTCCGAATGGATGATTCTGAGAAAACCATTCAGATTTTACCTCAGGACAGAGAAATAGAAAAAATAATGGTTTCTAAGGACTGTGGATCATTTTCCACTGGATCATTTTCCAGAATTTATTCGGAAAAACGGAAGATTGAGTGAAATACGTACATTTCATGAATACATTTTCACAGAATGTAACATGATAAAGATATGGCTCCTATATATCTTTCATGTAAATGGTGCATTAAACAATTAACCGATTGACACGAAATTTTACATAACATAGCGAATTAAGCCTGGTTCATGTACATAGCTTTAATATATATTTGAGACCGATTCCATTGCAAAGACATTTTGAAGTTAGAATGAGGTGTATGATGCAAATTACACATTAAATATCCAAGTTTTTTGCGATTGATATGAAATGTTTCCAGCGTTCTCAATTAAGTCTATAACGCTCTCTTTTTGTTATCCTTTCAGATTTAGATATATCTCCCATATAGTTTTTAATCGATTTTAAGCACATTGTGCACTAAACTCCTACGTTTTCTTAGATTGACACGAATTTTTGCATGCACACCTTTTGTCATAATTTTTTTTTCTATTTTTCTTTAAATGGGTTTCGATATAGATGTAGCTCCCACATATATTCACTAATGAAAAAGTCATTGATATTTTCTCAGGAATTTTTTTCTAAAGAACATAATCTTTCCACAGGCCTGAGCACTTATTCTTAAAAGTAGTTTTTCTACTCAAAAGCAATTGTTTCTAACAAAAAATGATTTTTTCGGGATTTTTGGGGAGTGGAGATTTTCTCTATATTCTACAAGCATTAATCGTCCTCTGAAACGGTTTTCTTGAGAATATTTCCTCAAAAAGAATTTTTCAACTTTACATTCTTTATTAACTTTCTTCTAAAGGCAACTGACCTTTAAATAAGTTCATATTTCAACCTTCTGCACAATTTGAATACACTTTTACCCTTCAAGAAGTTTTCGTTTATTTCCGTTTCCATGTTGTACACAAGTTAATTTGTGAAGTTTGGAATATTACAAAACAAGGAACATTAAACCAAATAAATATATCATTCCAATGAAACTTAAAAATTTCCTGTTGTGGTAGGTTTCTTTCAGAATATTTGTTAGTTGCAAAGCCCCACCAATGTGGAAAATATTTTCTCCCCTAGAATGACCCGTTTCATTAAATGCCCCCTTTAGGTAGTTGCTCAAGGGTGGAAGGGTCATATTAGGGAGTATAAGGGTAACAACAACTTTCCAGCCACCATGGGCTGCGACTGATGTAAAAACAACAAGGACTTAAGGAGTCACATAGACCAACACTTCGGCTGGGTGAGTAAAACCCAAATCGTTGTAATCCATGCAGCAACTTCTCCACACACCCACCATGCCTGGCAAAAAAGTATTTATGGTGACAATAATTAATGGCATTAGGGTTAAAAATGTCGCAAACAATTAGTGTTTCATTTCTTGTAGAGCGTATAGTGTAAAAATAGAGCTCGAGATAGAGCCGAGCTACATGCCATCACGTCATGCAGAATACCAAAAGAATGGCTAACTGGATAGCAGGCTGCAGGGAACACCCCACTTCGCGCTGTATCATAGAAACAACATGCCGCATAAATTAGTTTGTTAATGAAAATCACATATCAAGAAATACGATTTGTTTTTAAAATGAAATTTTCATACAGTTAACGCTTAATAGAACAATTTTAATCATGAAGGAAATATGCTCTCCTGCGGTAGTTAGGTTTTTTGGTGATTAATCTGAACTACCAAGGGCCAGATAAAAATATTTTAAGGATGCTCAATATTAATTGAAATGGAAAAGGCCTTGAGTAAATTCGAAGGTACTATTCCTCGAGCGAAGAGCGAAAAATATAAAAATTAGAAAAAATATATTATGTACTTTTACAAATAGCCTTAGCTATGAGGATCAGGTACTAATTATTTTTACTTGAAATCTATGGAAATATTTATTTCTGACTTCATTTTATTTTTATGAAAGAAATTCACCTCTTAAATATACAAAAATATGCTCTTGTAAAAACTTACTATCCTGTGAAACAGATATCAATAGTTAACTATTTATGAAACAACACATGTATTTTTTTCTAGAAGAAAAATTGACAAATCTTTGGTAGTTTTCTTAAAACAAAAAACTCAATAAAAATGCTCAAAAAATTACTTTGACCCCATTTAAAAAAATAACATTTTCATTCACATCCCCACACAACCCATAGTGCGTATGAACAATACCACATTAATCATACGCCTTGTGTGCAACCACCAGGGAATGTGTCAATGTGCTCAAGTACACACACACACTCAAACTGACACTTTGCCATTTCGATTTTATATTTTGTTTTTGTTGGTCTGTATGTGAACGGAAGGAAGGAAGAATATTGTAATTTATATATGTGTGTGAGTGTATCGGATTGTTGTCCTTTTTTCATCATCATCTTTCTTTTCCGATGAAAAGGGTATATGTGAAACTACTTCCGGTGACAATAAGTTTTGGCGAAAAATTTATTTATCGCGATTTGGAGATGGTGACTGTCACCGGTAGTTATTAAAAATTTTATGTGGAAAAAAAATACCTCAATAACCGAGGTCTGATTTTATCCTTAGAAAAAATTCGTCGGAAACTGAGGTCTGATTTTTTCCATAGAAAAAAATACCTCAGAAACTGAAGTCTGATTTGTTTCTATAAAAAAAACTAAAACTGATGTTTTTCTATAGAAAAAAAAAAATACCTCAGTAAACAAAAACTCAGTAACTTAGGTCCAATTTTTTCGGTAAAAAAAACTCAGAATCTGATGTCTGATTTGTTTATAAAAAAAATACCTCAAAAACTGAGGTCTGATTATTTTCTACAGATTCCTATTTAGGGGGAATATCTTTAGCAATACACCCTTTTCATCACCTTCAACTAACTAACGATACCCCATTGGATAAGAAGCAAATTAAAATTAATTACTTTCGTATTATGTCAACACAATGGATCGGAGGGCATAGATAGATAGAATAAATACTATAGGTATGACCAGCAAGGAGTTGATGTGTTTGTATGTGTCCCCTTAACCATCGATGTCTAAATAAATACTTAATGAAAGATGTTAGTAACAAAGTGGACATACATACAAGTGCACACATATACATATCTCTCATCTATGTATGTGTGGTCTTCAACTTTGTGTTAAGAATAATAAACATTAAATTCTGCAAGATTCAAACTGTTAATATTATGTAAAATATCCTTTAGATAATCTAGCCCGACAATGCTGCTTCTACTATTGCCAGAAAGTGCGTTTAAATGTGTCAAAGTGTGT